TGTTCCTGAAGTGATCGCGAACACTCCTCAGAGAAAACTTGTACTTTGTGTTCATCATCATCAATATTATTATTTGAAAATATACATCAAAAGTTGAGGATCAACCTCAGGCCGCAAACGGCCGATTGCTGTGTTACTTGTTTTCACCTAAACCAGTTTCTTTGCCAGGAGTCTAAGGACCCTGGACAGTGGGTTTGCGCTTTCTGATTTGAATACAGTAGTTGAAATATTCTCACCCTGCTGTACTGCATTTTTTCTGTTCCATTTTGAGCTATTCTGAGAGTACCTGTTGCTCTCATTAAGAGATACTTGGCCACCAATGGCTGAGTGATGTCTTTGAATTATTTTGTGAATTTCATAAACCTTTCTTGTTGATGATTTGACGCATGGTCCTCTAAGAGTACCTATTTATTCATTTGTGAGAATTTAAAGTCTATTAAAAGTTAAATTCTTATCCTGTGGAATAATGCTGGACATATATACAGTACAGTACAAAAATAATATGTTCTGGTGCTTATTTACACTACAATGACAGCACCTCGTTTGCAAATCCTGATAATTTAATAGAACTTTTATTTTAGTCTCTCAACTTGATTCAAAAACAAATAAGTTGAAACAATATGTATTTTTTCAATTTTTACATCTTCCAATTAAATCGTGTGAAGTTTGCAGACATTGTTGAATCTGCAATGTTTTACTTAAGTGTGGTTACTTTTGTTGTCAACGTAAAGGAGAATGTTGGATCCATTGGTAAGAAAGTTAGTGATGTAGCACCGGAACGTAAAAAAACCATTGGTCGTTAACGTGGCGCGACAAATAATGCCGAACAACTCACAGATATATTTTCTCAAATAGCTGCGATTCTTGAAAGCCATCTGTTAATCTAAGTACTGTACATAGATTCTTTCCACCGGCAAAGATCCCGAGCTATTTCAAATCATGCTTACTGATATGCATCGTATTTTTTGAACGTCAGTTTCAAGAAATCATTCCACTGTATACTTCTCTAACAAACGTTTAAGTTCATCTAATGCGAACTCAAGACAGAGCTGAAAATCATCGGTACTTGTTGTCGGACAGGACTTGAAACTCGAAATACAGAACACGATTTCTTCCTCGTGAGGATTGTAAGAAGTTCCGTAGCCATCCGGAACAACTGCAGCGTAGTATACGTAGGAATCTGTGCCAGTGGGGACCTTCAAAAGTGTATTAGACATTATTTAATTTTCAAAAAATTGATTGGCAAGAAAAGTATGCTTACCTGACTAGTAGAGAGTGCGAAATGGTTTGCTGTTTTATATGAAGGGTCGTCAAACAGCTCAATACCGCTGAAGACCATTTCTTTGCCCATTTCCCGAAGTCCAAGCAGGTGAATGTCAATTCCTTCCCCAAGAATATTTTGGATCATGATGTCGGTCTGAGTCTTTATTGCTTGTTCAAATAGCTTTTTCTTCTCTGAATCCTAAATAAATTGAACCGAGAAAAAAGTTAGGCTATCAAAAAGAAATACTGTAAATAACACTGGCCAAGCATACGAGGGTCCTTCCGAAAGTTCCTGGAATACAGATTAAAAGGATATATGCCTGAGTTAAAAACAATTGATGTTCAGAAAAATCTTTCTTTGGCACAAAAAAACAACGAATAAGAACTGTTTGACATAGAAAACTATTGTTCCAAAAGTTAGTCACCCTGGCAGCTTTCTGCTCTTCAATCAAGAGGCAAGGCTCCCCATTTCGCAGATTTTTTGCCGTACCCCAGCTTTCCCTTCAGAATTGCATTATTCTCAAGGGTTGCCTCCAGGTCTTCCAAGGTTATTCCGCCATTTTTATCAACAGCTGCCTTCACAGCCGCCATTTGGGATGGGAATTCTGAGTGAAGAGCGGAAAGCTGCCAGGGTGACTTATTTTTCAAAAAATACGTCAAAGTATAGGGCTGAATTTTTTCAACCAAAGAATGCTTTCCTCAACAAGAAAGTTTTTCTAGTTGAATTGTATGCCGCTTCAAACAACTTCTGTTCCGAGAAAATTTGTAAGGACCTTCGTATATCAAGGAAATGGTTCTCACGGTGTAGCCGGAATCTGGGATCATTGCTTGAGCTAAGTGTAAAGCGTCCAAAGTTGCAGCCCGGATATTATCAACTCTTCCAAAACGGAATCTGCGTGTTGAAGCGCTCTCATATGTAGCCACAAGTCGTCCATGCAGCCTGTATTTAAAATCCATTAAAAAAAAAATGCATTAAGTCCAATTTTCGGAGTTCAATCACAGATCACTTACTTATAGTGCGCAATTTGCAATGCTACTTGAATGTAAGCATCTGGACTGCACCTGCATTTCTTGGGAAAGTTCTTCCCGTAGCCTTTATACCGATGGATCTTCAGGTCGACATCTTTGCAAGCGCTGAATAAAAGCAATTGAATATCAATTACCTGAAGAATTCAATACATCCGTGCACTCACACGTCCATTTCAAACAGGGCTTCTTGAATCTTGGCCTGAGTTTCTCTGTTCAGTCTCCACTTGAGTTTCCTGCCTTTATTTAAATCGTTGAACTGAATTTTCTCTTTGGGTTCTTCGGAAGAGTCCAGAGTCGTTAGCAGACGATCCATTATCTGGACAATTGCTATGCCTTCCAATGCAGAATGCTCAAAGCAGAGTCCTATATGACCGTCGGTTGTGAAGATGAACTGCATACAATTTAAAACACCATGAGCTTATATGCACATCCACATCAGTAATTTTCCATGAATTAAAATAATGAATCAAAATAAATAATATTTTCGAGTACAAAAAATAGAATCAAGCAAAAAGTTCACCTGAGCTGTTTTGTCGAACCATCTATTGCAAGAGTTGAACTTGGTTCCGCCTCCGTGCAACATTTGCAACGCAACATTGGACTCGTCTCTTTCTTCGCCAATATTGCGTCGATTGAAGGTAACTGGCAGTGGCTTGTCGAAGCAGACAAGAAACAAGCATGTTTCTATTTCTTCCATAGATTCAGCATTGACAGGATCTTGCCGAACGCAAAAAAAGCAAGTCATAATGGTACGAATATTTCTTGAAAGCCCGAGTCATGAATAATTGGTTCGGGAATGAAGCAATTATAACCTCTTGTTGAACCCATGAATCGGACCAAAAGATTGAGAAAGTCTCAATCTATTCCACAATGGAGTTAACTACTGTACAATAGGGAATCTAATTTTGACGCATTACATGCATTTTGCCTCATGCAAGCAAATTTTCCGAATCCAAAAATCACTTCGTTCAAGATGGAAAGCATGGAAACGTAACTGATGAAGGTAACCATTTTTATCGCTGATGCCACGTACTAGAAAGTACCGATCATCACACAACATAGGAACTGGATTAATTTTTAATTTCTACAGTTTCGTGTCACTACATAATTTGAATTTACCTTTCAGCATAACTTGTCGCACTTCAGCCCAGGAGTCCCTTTTCATTGATGTCAGAATACCAACAGTTTCTGCATCAGGTTGCTCGTTTTCATGCAACCATTTTAGCTGGGCCGTGATGGACGATTCCTGCAGCCATTCCCCGTCTTTCTTGACAACAACTTTGAAGAACTAAATAAAAAATAATATTTCAAGTAGCTTTGTCTCTTTATGAATTGATTGCACATATTCCATCGAAGCTCACCTCATTATCCTTTGCTACGATTATGTGCTGGTTGTCAGTAGACAAAGAAGCAGTGGATCTCAAATGGTCTTTTTCTACGCCAGGAACTCGATATGACGTGAAGAACCGGTAATATTGTTCCATGCACAGCGGTTGACCTTTTTCTCGGGCCGCTGCTCGATCAACTGGCCAAGCTCTCCTACAATTAATTCAGAATTCGCATAAATTGTGAATAGATTCCACTCCAGCACTAACCTGTCGAGAATATCTTTGTATTCCAAAAGTTTCCCAATGAATTTACTGGCATAATGCAGCTTTCCTTCCTCATTACTGTATTTTTGTCGCGGGAAAGTCCATCCGGGGCTTGAATTGATCACAACCGGAAGCTTTATGTTGAAGTACATGTCATCCATCCACCATGAATATGCCTGAAATTTGGGAGAGTAATAAACACGTATTCGTGGGATTTGTGCCGAAATGAGTCGGAACTGCGAGAACGAATCGCCGAAAAATAATCCCGACATCGCCGAACCGGAAAGGAAAGGAATTTCCTGAGGATACCAGCAAATTCCTTCTATATTCAGGTCCCTCCTGGGAGTCTATCCCAGAAGAGGCTTAAAAAAATGCTCACATTCCTTTGAAGGGAATCGTGAGATGTATTCTAGCAAATCACTGACTTGAGTTATGCATTAGAAAGTAGGGTTCAAGAACTTTGAAAAGTTTCGGCGGCAAACGTCGGGAAAGGGGTTGGGGTAGTTCATGAATGATGAATCACTTTTTTTTTTTTGCACACGGGTCGCAATCCAAGTAATCCCAACAATCCTCTGCCACCACGACGACGAGGGTCGGAACGCGGGGCGGCAATTGCGGTGGCAACCCCCGCCGGGTTTGTGTTGCATATTAGCACCCGGGAACTACACAGTGGCCGAGGTCCTGCGGCAATTTCCGGACCCGATCCTAACCCCGTAAATAATTGCGGCACCATGTCGCACTTCTTCCCCCACCACCTTTGGCTGAGAATCAGAACCCATCGCCGGGATACTTCCGACGGAGCTCATTTGTTTCCCGTCGCAAGGGGAACTGGGCTCGTGCTGCGAATATATCCAGGGTCTGTGTTACTGGGGTTGGCGGAAAAGTTTTCTACGAACAAGTTATTATACGAACTATGCTGTATTTTCCGCGCTTCAATTAGCTTCCGAATCAATCAGCCGTGTCAGCAAAAAAGACATTGACAGACTTGAAAGCAATACAGTGCATTATTTTCCAAAATATTTGAGCAACGCGCAAAAATCGCCACATATTATTTTTGTGAGACACGTTTCCCAATGTTTCCCCCCTCGAATACATATGGGTTGTCGTTTCAAAAATGTTCGTCTGCTCACATATTCAAAAATTAGTGCTCCTCAAAATATTAAATTTTAAAATTCCTGTATGGCTTGAATTTAGGTTCCTTCATTTCGTCTCATCAGATGGAACGTTACACAAAAATCCACTCAAATAAAAACATGAGAGGCATATATACGTATTTCAATTTAATACGGCATATATATCATGTTACATTTTGTTATTATTCATCGTGTTTAAGGTCGAAACTGCAGTAAAATAATCTAAATTTATGAATGAATCAAACCAGCTTTTTAAAGCTCAAATTAAAATTAAATGTGAGGTTGGTATACAAGTGGACCATATAAAGGATATTGTTATGTATCTTCGGGTCTTCTGTAGAAAAACAAATTTGAAATGTCTTTTGCAATAATTGGTGGGACTTGAAAGAATAACTTTAATCAATCGTGTGTTTTTCCAGTCAAAATCGGAAGGATTCAAACGCAATTTTTCCTAGGGGACATTTCACGGTTCGTCAATAGATTTCAAATCGGACTTGCGAGTATGCATTACTACCTGATTGAATAATTAAAATTTAATAAGAGTAAATATTTCTTCGAATAAGTAGCCGAACTTAACTGCAAACCCTGTTCTTCGTAGATTCTTTTTCCTCATTTCGCGGGTTGCTCCCTTCGACACATAGAATGTGGCCTACTGATGAACACCCTGGTCAATCAATGGCAATGAAACTTTCCCTGTCTTGCCCATGTGTTCCACAGGGAAAAGGACCATCAATGCATTTCCTTTTTTCTTATTTTTTGCTTATTGTTTCTTCTTGATGAACCATTCCGGGACGAACACAAGTAAGAGTGCCTGGGTCAATACGTCCATTATTCGAGCTATTAACTGGTGCCTTTTTCCTGATGCAGAAAACAAATCAGTGATAATCGAAAAAAAACCGTTCCAAAACATGCTGACTTTGTTTTACATCAACGAATAATTTAAATTAGAAACCTGTCGAATACCTGAGGTCTTTTCTCAGAATAATTTGTTCCTGCATCATCGCATTTTCTCTCAACAGCTATTTTGAATGACCTCAGGCCTCCAATATATTCATACAGTATTTCTCTGTCGCCGTATAGGTACAATCATTAATTAGCATATTTTGGTCCCATGATGATTGTTTTTGGGAGATGTTCACTTCGTCAAACATGTGAAAGGACTGCAAGTGGGATAAAGGAAAGTCTTATCGGGGTTATTGCTGCTGAGTCCAAACATTTCGAACAGATGATCAATCTGAAAATTTCTGTCCAAGTGAGTTCAGCGGATTTTCATTTTCTGGAAGTTTCTAGTAATTTACGGCAATCGAGAAGAATTCTCGATTGTCCAAATCTTATTTGAATTGGTAATGTTTAGAAGATTATTCTATGAGTCACTTTATCTTCAAAGCCTCGGCGATAGAATGCATTCAAGTGTTTGCCTCTGCTGGCATGCCGTCGAGATACTCGAGAATCAACAGAGATTAGGATAAGAAATATTTACGGGAATTCAAAGTGTTTTTTTTTCTTCACACAAAGAAAACTACAGAAATTTCCATTACTTTTCAGCAAACAAAAAAGACGCATGTTTGAGGTAAACAATGGGACAACTGAACTTGTCAGACGTGTCCGTGAATCTAACAACAACAAGAAGCTTCCGGGCTGGAACAGTAATTGAACTCGGCTTGCCAGTGGAAACGGAAAGCCGGTCGACGTAATTTCAAAGCAAATTTGTCGAACAGGGGATTGAGTCACGAGGTGCTTTTTATTCCGCACGGCAGAGCTTTTACACGAGCTATTCAATTCCCTTTTGGGATCCTCGTGATCCTCTTTCGTGTAGTTCTGTAGTTCTCCTCCTCCTTTTTTTTTCTCCATCCCCGCTTAATATGCAATGCATGATAGGAGGAGTTGATCCAGCCAACGTCGTAATTGGGTCGATTTGCATTTAGCCTAGAGCCTTGTGTAAAGCTCACGAGCGCGGTCTGGAAGCGTGTCGTCTCTACCGCAGTAGGTTCGTGAAACCTTAGCTGAAGAGGATCCCACCCTTGATGTCCTTAAATTGCAAATTTCATTCTCGAAAAAAGGCACTATTTTAAAATGTATTCAAAACTCAAGATCTCAACAACTGTCTCTGATATGGAGGACACTGCTGTCTGAAGGTATTGGAGTTCTGGCAGTTATCTTCGAAAATTCGGAGAAGAAAAAAAAAAACCTTACATGTGTGGGCTGCTTGATGGTGATCATAGTCGGGACATCTCATTTACTTCATCATTGATCGAAGCTCTCTTTCTGCTAAAAATTGAATTTGAGAAGATTTTGTTGAGTGACATTTTAGTGTCCTCAGTATTGTGTGCCGTTGAGAGGATAAAACCAAGTGTTTGCCTTTGAAATGTCAACAACGCTTAAAAGAACTCGACTGAGATTAGGATAAACGTTCAACGCGCGCTTTTAGCAGAATGAAAACAATAGAGATTTCAATTACTGTAATTCTGAACATCCAAAAAAAACAAGCTTTCAGGAACCTTTGAGACGATTGAACTATATTGTGTTGCTTGAATCCAAACAAAAGAAACCTTACAGATAGGAGCAGTAAAAGACAGCTCACTTGAAAAACTTGAATTTCCTCTCGCATAGATGAGACAAATTCAAAAGACATTCCAGTTTCGGGTGCAATTATAAATAAAATTATTAATCCTATCCCACGCGGATTCGTTCATCTGCTCATTCTGGATAAACATTTCAAAGAAGACTTGCTACGTGGAATGTTATTCGTCTTGGTAAAATTTATTAAAATACTTGAATATCTGTATCATCTGAGACATGGTTGTTATTTCTGAGGAACTTCGACGAGTTTCGAGTTCTGCGGACAATTTGGCGGAGTAATGCAAAATTGCACGACCTTGTTTTCGGACGCAGTCGTTCGACAGAAACCGGCAGCCATCACTTCAACGGATAACTTATTCAGGATAACTTTATCTCAGAAAGAAAAAAACTGGAATGGATTGACAGACGTCCTCGAACTTTCAGTGGAAACGTATCTCAGGTGCACTCGAACGGTGATTGCGAGAGCGAGGATAAAGCCGGGAAAATAAGATGAGTTCGCATGCAGGCACAATTGCTTCCCGACGATGAGATTCAAATTGAATTTATCGCACAGGGAAGCATTCGGGATGTTCCCCAATCCCCCCCCTCTTTTTGCCGTTTTGCCAATAATCGAAAGAGCGTCCGTGGTCTGCTCCCTCACCCAATTATCTTCCTTGTCCCGTTTCCTCGTTAGTTCCTTTTGTATCCTCGGGCCGAGGTCGGAACCGGAACTGAACTGTTCCACTAGTCTCTTGGTGCGTTGGAACTGGCTCGGTGACACCAGGGCTTGGACTGCGGCCAAATACCGGTCCAGAGTCTGGCCCAAGGCCGGCAACGGCAGTTTCGGCAGCATTTTCTGCAAATATGACGTCAGGAAATATCTGACTCAGTCGCTCAAGGGCCTGGAAAAAGATTCTCCAACTCAAAAAGGACCGGGATGAAACGTTGGAATTACACGAATTCTCTTCAAAGATTCTTACCAAATTATTTAATCAGGTGAAAAGTATCCCAGAACATGTTGGAAATTCTTCTCTGTTTTAACTTGTGCATTCAGTTATTGTCATGTGCTGTGATTCTTGAAGGAATGATGAAGATTTTCATGCATTTGTTAAAGTTACATAATTTCTCCTCTAATATTTTTACCAAATTATTCAGTCAGCTTAAAAATATCCAGGAACAGGTGAAAACCCTGCTGTGTTTTAAATTGTGCATTCAGTTATTGTGACGATGTGCTGTGATGTTTGCTATCCTTGAAGGAATGCTGGTGATTTTTATGTATTTGTCAGAGTTACATGATATGTCCTCAAAGCTTTTTACCAAATTATCTGATCAGTTGAAAAATGTGAGTTTGATGCAGTGTGATTTTTTTCGTGGGTCATTATGTTGTTAACTATTTTTTGATGAGCTGCAATGTGTTTAATTGATGTGTGGAAGATGTGGGGATATTTTTTTTACCCTGGGAACGTTGACGAGCGGCGAACAAACCTTTTACATCAAATAATCAATTAGGCTTCCCAGGAAAGGCGGAAAAAGGGTTCAGACAACTTTTTTTGCGGGATATTCTGACTAATTACCATATAAGTTCACTCATATATAGTAACCGCTGAAGCTTTTTTCGGAATTAATCCTGGCGTTTCTTGCAAATTGTTTTACGAAATTATTGCGGAATTCATAAGATATTTTTTAATTATCAGGGTTTCTCGTTCACTGTAATTCATCCTTCCCAGTGGAAAGATCATTTTCCACAAGGTGTACTGATAGCTCAATTAGACTCTTCAAAAAGCTAAGAATGAGTAATGTTCAATTTTCCGCCAGCACCCGAGGAACATAAAAAGAAGCTAACAGACGCAGGTGAGTCCATGGTGCAAAAAATGCCCAATTTAATGTGTCCATCATATGCATTGTACTCTAGGAATATATGTTATTTTGACATTTTTTCGAAATTCAAACCCACTTATATATTGTGAAAAGTTGACACAACTTGTACTTGTTGGATGGGCGAGACGAATGAACTGCCATTCGAAAGCTTCACGTGTTCTTTCTTTTCCTGACGTTGTATTACTCTATAATTTTCTTGTGGATCGACTGCTTGTCGTGTTGCTGGACATCAATTTTTTTCCCATGAATATCTGAACATGTACGATAAGCAACACGCATGACAGCCTGACAGTACTGAAACATTTCAGTATCCGGAATGGTATTCCATGAAATGATTGAAATACAAGCTGAGAGTTTTGAATATTGCATGTGTTATTCTCAGTGCATTTTCATTGAAATAAATTGAGATATTCACGGTGAAGTAAGACTTAATCAAAATTGATTTCATAACAAATAAATTGAACTCGATCTTTGCTGTTGAGATAATCAAGCAGATCGGGTAAAACTTATAGTACTGAGACTGCTGACACGCCGTTATTTGTAAAACAGGCTTGAAAAGCTCGTCTGTGTTCCAGCAAACATCCTGTACAGAACTCAGAGATCGGCAATGTATCGCTAATAGTGAAAATCCACCAAAACTTATGGAAAAAAGCTACAAGTAAAAAACAAATCAGCTTAGCCATTAAGTGTGTGACACTGCTACCAAGAAAAATTCTTCAGGTTACAAGGAAAAGTGGAACAGAAGATTTTAATGCGTGGGAAATTCAACAGTCATAGCGTCCTGTCGCTTTAAAGGATTTATGTTTTTTTTTTCAATTGTATACAAACAAGCTCGTTAATATTACTTGAATAAAAGCTACCAACTTCAGCAGAGTTTACGCAAATACAGTAATTTCAACAGCGTTCGATCGTGCAGCCCACGCTTACATCTTTATTCCCAGTAATATAGCGCAACACTCGAGCTGAGCTTTCGTAATAAAAATCAAAATAACGTCACCTCCCGAAAAACTACAGCTGAAACGTGAAGGAACCTCTGAAGTATTCGGCTGCGACCCGAGACCCCGCAATCCGACACACGATCCATTTATGGGTCATGCCGGGAGCCGACAATAGCTCTCGACATGCTGAAAGTGCTCGCGGAAACGCGAGAAAAAAAGTTCGTGGGTGTGGAAGTATTGGGAAGACCTGAATCCTTGGGAACTGGAGACGGCGGAAAAAATTTTTTTCCTTGCTCTTCTGTTGAGCGGGATGTTGTATTCACGGGCACCGCAGTTGCGGAATTCCCACGGGGCCTGTGTCGAGGGTATATGGGGGGCGATGGAGCTGGAAGGCCTGTGCCTCGTTTTTCTTTCAACTAAGTCGTGATCATCGCGAAGAACGCGTTTTGCTCGTCAGCTAATTTCTTTCTCCCATATGCTGGATGTAATAGATGATCTAATATAATCGGTCATGACTCATGAGACACTTCCGCGTGTTCTTTTCTTGTGCCCCGGAATTGAAGGAACCTTGCAAATGTAAGACGCACTTATATCACATTTAATCTCTCAAGATAAATAAGAGTCTGTTGCTTTTACGAATGCGAAAAATCGTGTGCTTTCAAAATGAAAATAGTTGGGATTCAACTATTTTTAGTTCGATAATTTTGAGCCGATACTGTGTTAGCCAAAATAAAATGTAAAATAGAAAAAATATGCATTCGATCTTGTTACTGCCGGTATAAAAGGTCTAAAATCTGTAAATGAATCAAAGAAATCTAAATCAGAACTAATAACCAAATGTTTTAGCTCGTACTGTCGGGTATCATATTTCAACCTCATGGATTGTTGTTGAAAAAAATCGAAACTCGAAAAACTATGCCGTCATGGCTCAACAATCATCAACACATTTGCAAAAGTAAAATTACCCCGAAAAATATACTTTTCTACAGTGAATAATGGGAAATAGAACACTCGTTTGACGCTAAGATGTTAGATTATTAATGCTTGCAATTTTTTAAACTCTAAATTTGAGAAGAAATCATTTAAAATTTTTCAAGAACAGGAAATTGTATTCGATAATTATTAATGATTCAAGTTATCACAATTATCCGCATGAGAATCAAGTTAACCAGCATTATCTAAAAAAAAACATTTAAAAACCAGCAACAGCGTAAGTCACAAACGGGGCTAGGTTTTTGGGAAAATTCTGTGCCAAAAAATCGAAGTGCACATCTTTTTCGAGGGCACGTGGTACTCAAGTCAGTACGGTAATTTACATAAATTAGAAAAATTATGAATTCTTGCTGAATCGAGCAGTTTTATGTGCAGTGTTAGTCTCCAGTGAACCAAAAAGAGCTGAATGCAAGGTCACACTGTGCATGATCACGCGTCGACATTAATAAATAAATTGAAACTACTGCCACGTGTCTGACCTTTCGTGATTTTGAATTTGCAAACGAGAAATCCCCGAGGCCAGTCTCTCATTTCCACTTCAATAGAAATTCTCTCGGTAGAATTTCGCGCGTCAGACAAGGGGAATACGGGTACATGTCGTAAATCTAGTCTCCAGAGTAAACAACTGTTCTAAAATGAAGGTATCACGATCCCTCGTTGCTAATGAGGGCATTTTCAAAAATCAACTTGAACCAAGCAGCCAGGAATTTTATCAGCTGGTTATCTGTTCAATCGTTCTCTCAGTTTAATTTCCAAATTTTTCAAAGGTGAAACAAGTTTCGACTCAACTGATCGCCGCGTGAGAATTCTGCAAATTTTGATGAGAATTGGGAAATGTTTCTAAGATTCCGTGAGCGTTTCTCTCCTTTTGAAATTAAAAAAAAATTAGTCTGCTTCAGAGAGTATTGATAACTCAACTGCGCAAATGTGCATGGTTGGGTGAAGCGACTTGTTCATTCCAATTTTATACTCAGACTGGCTGCCAGGATCACTTAGGCATATTGTAACCCTGAATTTTTCAACTTGGATTAGAGGAATTCCATTAATGCAACTTGCGTACGAATTAGCTCTGAGGAAAACACACAGTACATGTATTTTCCACAAAACAATTCACAGAGTTTTGCAGGGTATTCGTGATTCATTAATGAAGTGCGACCGTTTTTCAAATGGTGCCAAATTTTGCCCGTCATGGAGCGAATCACCTTATGGATATTTGCTTATTTTTGTACGTTTTGGGACTTGAACACGCTTCATCAAGTATCCATTGATTTTAATTTTTTTCTGTTCTTGATCTACTCAAGATCTTAATTTGTTGGAGTGACTGTAGAGCGAATAAAAACTATTACAGAGCTGTCAGGTATCTATATAAAGTACCAGTTGAATGCTTCACATAGAATATGAGCTAAAAACGGATCGTATCTTTTACTCAGATGTAACGACTGCGTGCCTCAACTAACTTTCGTTATAACCATCTATCGTCATCCTCGTGAATGTGCAGAAGAGCTTTTCGAGTATGTTCATCACTGTGCTGCAGAGATGAATAGGAGGAAAAGGAAATTCTGGGGCAAACGTGGGAGTCACATAATTTCTGGAACGAGGGAATCCGACGTTTTCCAGAGACGTGACGGGAAGCAACGCGCTGGGGACAATCTCGCCTTGTGTCCCTCCAGGGGAATTAAGTTTCGCCGGGGTTTCGGGTCCGTGATGCATGGAGGCTATTGCAGGGGGTTCGTACTCGTGCCGGGTTGCGTCCCGGCGCTGCGGAATACCTGAGGGATTCGCTAGAGCCTGCGAAAGCTTTGGCTGGGTGTCGGAGAAAAAGTGCCTGGTAGTTTCTCTCTCGATTAAGACGGCCTTTTATCACGCTTAATGCCGGTAATTCTTCACTGGGCTAGAGTTTTGCAATGCTTCCTTCTTTATTCCAATCAACGTCAGTATGTCGGCTTGCGAGGAAACGAAACGCTGCGTGACAAGAGCTTCTAAAATATTCACGAAAATCTGACACACAACAACGGACTGAAGCTCTGCCTAAGGCATTGAAGTAGACGTGGGAGATTGAGGCCATTCTTTAGCCGAAGATTTTCTACGCATTCAGACTTTTTATCGTGATTCATTTTTATTCTAGTGAAATGCTTACAGCAGGCGCATAACTGGCTTGTGCACTATTGTATCTTCGTTACAAATTATTATTGGTTGGCATGTTTCACTTACTTTACTATCAGATGACATTGACGTAAAGACGCACTTGAAAATGGCAAAAATGTGTCAAAATGAGTTATATACTTAATTTCAACAGTAAATATGTAATTATACCTATCACGCATCCTGCTTTGATTGAAGCAATTGTTTTTGTATATTTTTATATTTGAGAGAATGTGATAAAGGAGGTGTCAAGTAGTGCCTCAGCGTCCGTTTTTTACTATTAAAATTAATCTCTCTTGAATATGCTTCGCTTTAAATGTAGCTGTCAGCATATGTCATCCACCAAGGCATACAATTATTTTTTAACTACTGTACTCAGCAGGATAGGCTTTGAAATAAAATTAAAGGAATGTAAGCGTGGATTATGACATTATTTCGTGAGTGGATAAAATAAACTGAGCTACGAATACGCGGCTGCAAAAGAATTATTTCAGAACATGTCGTCATCAGCTCTTCACTTTATCGGAAATGCATTGAATTTTATAACATCATTATTGAAAGGTCAACAAAGTTGTTGATCAAGCATTTAATTCTGGAAAAAACTTTTTAGCGACTGTGTGCCGCGTGACGGTTTACTTAATGTGTCGTCGACGTGTTTACTATACGCGTAGATTCTTCTGGGGATTTTATCATCAAGTTGCTTCTAGAGGATATATGAAAAAGCGTATTTTCAATGTTTTGCATCGTCGCTGTTTTTCTTCCTGTTATTCAAATCACGGAAAACGATTGGAATCAACTGCGTGTTCGTGAGTGCTGTAGAAAATTGGCTTGAGTTTCATGTATCATGCAGAAAAATATGTTGACCAAAGACGAATCTGTTTTTCAGAAGATTCAAGAATCGGAAAATAAATGTTTAATGTCAAAAAGAAGGCTCACCAAATCATCCATTGCGGATCGAGAGAAAGTCGCTGCAGTGTCCGAATTCTCCGTCCGGCAATCTGCTTTGAGATTGACGGGTAAACTGTAAGTTATTTTTCATGCCAAAAATTCCGCCAAAATCACACGACACAGCATGAAGCAAAAAGAACCCAGGCCCAGTGCCACGCAATTTTCAAACCAGTCCCTTGATATTATCGTGAAGAAGTATCGTGCGAGATTGCATGGTGCTGGCAAACCCAGTTGTGACGGGAACATATCCCTTGGGCGAAATTTCCCCTCAGAAAGACATTCGTTCTGAAAAATACTGGATATCCATGAGGATCCCGCATAAAAACGATTCCTGGATAATTTGTGGTTCGTGCTCATTTCTGAATCATGCTTCTTTTATTTGGAGAGACCCGGGGCAACTCTAAATGCCGCAGAAGAAGACCCTCCTTGCAAACTCTCGGAAGATCCAATTCTCGAATTAATATTTTTATGTATCATGTTAGTAAGTAAGAGATATGCTGCAGCACACGTGCTAAATTTTACAAGTATCTCACTCTGAAAACGCCTTTTGGCATTGCTGCGAAGCAGCAATCCAATCCATTGCCTTTTTCTCGCCATCATTTTTCTCCGCTTCAATCCTCCTTTGCCATCCATAATGAGCTACACAGATACTTTTTCGCCTCTACATTTCAATTTGAAAGATGTGGATTACTACAAAATAAATCATCGACTGCATCTGTAAACGAAAATCGACATGAGGAAACGTGCCTTGTTAACTGTCTCCGTCACCAGAAACCGGAAATCCGTCGTGTCCGAAACCGCGTCGTCCTCATGCTCACCGGAAAGGAAAAACGGAAATGAACCGAAGAAGAAAAGGCTTCCTGTGCGCAGAAAAAAAACCCTGTCAAAGATTGCGACAAGGTTGTCAAAACAACAAGTCAAGAAAAAGCTTTCTCGTATACGATTTCAGTCTTTTTAATATATATTTCGCCATTCCCGATGACTGTCCGACATCAAAACAACAGTACATCTATAAAAGTTTCCCTTCTTCCAAACACATCACAGGGACGACACATGGGGCAGGTACAGACGCAATAAGCAAACAAAAAAGGAAAACCTCCTCTCGCAAAGGTACGTTCCGCTTTACAGAAATCAGTGACTAGAAAAAAAAACTTACTTCTGTCACTACAATCAATGAAAATGCCACCGAAAGACAAATAACCAAGAAATCAGTTTACGAAGCGCGGAAAGCAAAACGGCCCCATTGTCTCCCTCAAACTTCACGTACTCTCGCCAAATAAATCTAACTGCCAATAAGCCGCTGTATCAAGAACGATGCTCCATTTGCTTCCTGGTGAATGTCGCCAACAAGTGTCGAGGAAACCGCGCGTGTGGATCAAGCCACTAAATATTTATGCCATGAGTCACTTGAATCAACGGCTGCACTTCTGAGTCAGCCCAACAGCACACGAAACACAGTTGATAATAATTTTTTCAAAGCAACTGACATGCAATGAAAACTATATCGAACTGGTTTGAATTTCTTTTTCAGAATTTAAATAAGTCAGGGCTGACGCGTCAGTGCAGCAAGTTCCGCTTCAGAGACTGAAAACGCATTCATTTGAAACCCCTGGCGCAAGGTTTTAATTCAACCCGCGCTTCTAGTAAATCTCCTTGCAAAAAGACTCGAAACACACATTCGGACTGTGTATATTTTCGCTTGGAGAATAAGCGCACGATGCCTCCACTTTCTGCCTGTCTGATCATTGCAACCTGGTCGCCATCGGGATAATTTCCTCCTCCATCCGCTGCCTCAAGAAACTAAAGCTTGAAGGATCATTAAAAAATAGATACCGGTGCATCAATAAAAAAATCCACGGTATCCTCATGTCGGGGGTTTTTTTTCTTCCAACGCGGTCCTCTCAGCCGGGGATCCCACGTTGGATCCCCCCGGGACAAATTTCCTCAAACTGCGGAACGCATGAGAATTTGAAAGACGAGAGTGAGATCCTTGTCCGTACTCGGTTCCGGACGATGGGCGCTTTTAACTTTGTTACGATTTGCGCTCGAATTTTTCTTGTGGGTTTCCTTGCGGAAACCTGCGACGTTTCGCCTGATACCATACGCTCAGTACAAACTCAGTCACACTATCAAACCCCCCACGCTCTCAAAAATATCTTGGGCGTTTCAAAATCATATTGATATACTTTTTCTTAATGGGTCGCACCTGAAGGTTTCAAAAAATTCCGGAAGCTGTGTGTTCCTTGCATAAATTGCGATACAGTTTCGTGGTTCGGAATAAAATAGCAATTAGCAAGAAAAGTAGGAGACCAAAGCAGCAAAAAAGGGGAAAACAATATGATGCAACCCTGGATCAAACAATAAGGGTTAACAACGCAACCAAAAATCCCAAGGGAAGTTTTTAAAGTTAAATTTTCGAAAATTAAGGCATCTTGAAGAAAAATCGATTCATCTGAAGTCGAAGACGTCACAGGAAACCACTGGTATAATTTGAAAGGGAAATTGAATCTGAATTCTTATACATTACTCATGAAATTTGAGCAAGTATATAAAAATGGGGAGAGAATACGTTTCGACCTTCAGATGCGGGAACCCCTGTTCTGGGCAAATGCTGACGAGTTTTTTTTAATGATATGTCCGTATTCTTGAAATTCCGAGCTTCAGCCCCGAAAAAAATGTGCTGCATGCAAACGTGCAGTAAACTGAATTCTGAAAAAACTATTCAGTTTTTCATTCACACCGATTAAACTGATTTAAAAAAAGCGAACTTCCCAGTAAATTTGTGCTCAACAACGAAAATAGATTTCTTCGAGCCCAGTGGCGACCGGGTTGCAAAATTCCGAACTCGACAAGATGTTAATTCTCTGTATGAAGTTTATAGTCTTCTATTAAACTTGATACGCCATGTGATTCTTCTTCTGAAATAGCCGCGAAGTTCATCTATGGAATAAGACTGGAAGACTCGAGGTGATAACCTCGTTAGGAATCCGAACCCTAACTAGAAGCAGCCACGCCCAGCAAACATTCAGGATTGCTCCCTTTCAATCCACGAACAAAGCACTTGCTCATATGACAAAACGAAGTCACACCAGTATAGAACCCCATCAAAAGGTTGTGCGTTAAGGAACAGCAGCGATTCGTTCCATGCCAATTATCGCTGAATGCAACCCAGTGGTTCTACGAAACCTTCCGCAGCTTTTGGCAATTACTGAGCTGTGGACATATTCCAACAAACATATCTAAAACTTTCAAAAACAAAACCGAATAAGAGTAACTCGTTTCCTTAATAAACCATGGTAATATCCTTTTCTCGGGTTGTTCCGCATAACTCTTAGCGAGATTCAAATCGTTGGTTTTACAGAGATTGATGCAACTAAAATAGATAAACAAAAAAACGACTGAAAAGCTGCAGTTTCCAGGCATTTGTGCAGCGCAAACAAATCTCTCGCACAGGGCCAACTATTCACGAACCTCGTCGACGCGATCAAATGTATCACATTCTCAAGTAACAGCACTCCAGTTCGCGATTGCACGCCGGAACGAAACAGCAGTGAGAAGTTGGAGCGTTTCGTTTTGTTTGCCTTCGAGCCACAGCGCCTTAAATAGGCTGTGGGGATATGACACGAACAGCTCCGGCTTTCCGCCAGTTTACTCAAGGAGATCAAAATAATCCCCATTTCCGGGGCATCATTCGGGCAGCAGGCTAAGTCACACGAGGGAAATCCGAAAAAAATGTTCAGTAAACATACATATTTGAGATCCCCCAAATCGCTAATCCAATGAAGCGCTTCTTCTAAAAACAAGCACCTCGATATAATAACTGAAGCGGCGCACGTGAAAACATTAAATCACAAAATATGCTGCGGTAACATTTAATCCATATCTGAGAACTTGGTCACTTCATTCAAAAGATGTCTCATTCAGAGAAAGCGAACTAAATTACCACTGAAGAATCTGTTGTCTCTGAAGCGCGTTCAGTTTTCTGCACGCCATTCTGAGACGCGCGTCTTTGGAACGCCTTCAACAGCACGGAAAGCTTGATTCAGTCTTTTACAATTACAGTACATCCTCGAAGGAATTATATATATGAGGAATAACATGTTCTGAAACGAAGCATATACCTTAGAATTATATTTTTTCGGATGTCCCTCGCACTGTAACCAGCTGAGCCCTTTTGATGAACACTAACGAAACGAGTGGATCTCATACTCGGGCCAAAGGCCTGACGCATATTGCACGAGCAAAACAGCTAACTCTTACCTGCGAGACACTCAAGCGAAAATCGAGATAGAAAAAAAAACAATGGCCGCGTGTTGAATGGTAAACCGAAATAAACTTTCGGCACGATGCAGCTTTTCTGTTCTTGCAAAAGAACGCAATCAATCCATGTCTTCGTCGGTGGCAGAGGATCGCAGTCCATTCAACGAGGCGGTAAGTCTCTCAGAGGTACGTATTTCTTTGTGTTTTTATTACTGGGCGCCTCCTGTTGACAAGATCACGAGAAAATAACATCACAACTACTGTAATTTATTCCGGTATATTTCGAGCTTTTTCGATTGGTGGTACACGCTCCACTAATGGTACGCTGACACGTGTCAGGGGGTATGTCCGATCTTCCTAGGTTACAGATAGATCTTCCAAGAAAGGATTATTATTTATAGAAGTGGTTGGAAGAGGATTAAAATGTCACACGAAGAGACCCGGGGGATATAGAGGACGACGAAACTAGCAGTTAGAAAATTTGGCCTTGGAAAATGCTAAGGAACCCAAAGAGCCGAATTTTGATTGTACAGTGTATTTTAAAAAAAGAAAAAAATGTTACATGAGTACGTACTGAAACATTTACTTTGAATGGGAAAAAACTTCCGCTGCTGACGTTCAAAAGATGGGGCTCAAACACTGCACTGTATTGAAACTGACACAATCTGAAAAAAAAATAGAAACCCCCTACAATAAATTACGACCCTCCAGTTATCGTCAATTACAGTCGGAAGGACCTCAATAATATGCATGAACGAGTCTTGAACGTTCTCCTTTTATTTCATCACACTTATTGAAATCCAAATATTTTTTATGTTGATGGAAAAAATAACCCCATAAAAGTTTTCGTGTGGTGTGAGCGAAACTTCCGCAGAACTCATTAGAATCATTACCCCAACATCAACTAGATTTTGTTCGAGAATACGAAGGACAGTATCATATCCAGGCATGACTTCTGATTCCCAGAGATTTCCAGTATTTCCGTTAAAAAACCTATATTATCACGTGGAGAACTTCTAATGTTTCTTGTAGCCCGTTACATGGATTTATTTGACATCATTGCGCTGACTTTTCAATATCGAAAGTCTGTATCAGAGTTACGTCTTCATTCAACTACGAAATGTTTATCTAAAACTCAGTCCAAGGGAAGTACAAATTTTTAAGTATCAGTATGACAAGCTGACCAGTTTCCAAAGGGGAACATTTCTTGTGAAGGCTGCTGTTTGTGTCGTTCTCACGAACCAAAACCGCGAAGATTCTATGTAGAATTTCCATGAGTCGTAGGTAGTAAACATTCTTGCGCAAATTAAAACATTTTGAGATTCCTTGCTTGGAAATACGCTTGCTTGTCGGGCATTTGAACAGCATTCACAAGGAATCTAAATTTAAGGATCTTTCGCTTTGCCCCCGAATATCAGCAAAAAATAGACCCGGCTCCATTAATGCGAATATGAAAGATTGAAGGGAATACGTTTTCATTTCGTGAGCCGAGTAATATGAGATTTTCGGAAGGAAACGCTTTTCGGGAAGTGCATTAAGTGAAGCGACTTTTTTCTTCCATGCACGCGTGCAAAAGCACGCTCGTGCGAATGACTTCGCGTGCAGGTGAGCTGCTCGTGTCTCTATAGCCCAAAGATGGAAATCCGCAGACGGAAAATTTCATCAGTATGGGGGAAAACGCCCTGATGGAACTGCACTACTACACGTGGAAGCAGCAACTGGTCCCGAAGGAAATCAAGTTCCGACAGATCCTCTCTCAAGGAGAACAAAATAAATCAATAAAATAAAAAGGGCGTAAGGTAAACAAAGTGCCGTTCCATCATTGCATTTTCCCGAAATACCGTGTTTACCCAAATGTATAAGACGCCATCAATACTTATGCATGCCCTCGAAATAAAAATATATATATTACTCGCAAATTGAAAACTGTCTTCTGAGGGTGAAGCATAAAAGACGGGCATTCTTAAAATTTCAAGATGGATATAGTGGTTCTTTATGCGAGAATATTGCAATACAGTGAGCATTATTGGAGCCTTGAGTATAACCATCATGACTGTATACTCTAAAAATTCGTAATCTTGGAAAAACGTTTGCGGATGCTTTGTAAAATTTGCTTTTGTCTTCATATTCTCACAGTTCAGATCGTCGTTCAAACTTTAAAGTGGTTATGGTGATTAATTTAATGACATGTAACTCCAGTAAAGAAAAGTTTAACAAATAGTATATATAAGTTGGCATTATGTTTTTTCTTTAAGTAAGCCCCGTCATTCTTCAGTGAAAATTTTTGTGAAAATATGCAAGCGGAAATAGTTAAAAATTTAAATTCATACAAATTTGTTCAAATCTTCTTAAACGAGAATTGAGCCTGGGAATCTATGACATGCATCCTCAGAGATTGTCAATCGTGATGAGAAAAAGGGGCAGAAGTAACCCGATTTACAATAAGGTACCATCGATTATATAACGTAAATTTTTTTTCAACGCAGCAAAGGTGGCCTGCATAATTCAATACGCTCATCCATTAAAGGCATTTTTCAGAATCAATGGAATATGTTTATTGAATCCATGCTTCTTCTTCCAATTAATCTCCCAGAACACTTAAAAAGTTTATGAAGATCTTGGTTTAAGCTATTGCCTTTGTCTTGAACCAAAAAGTGATTTGTTTAGATATCTTTAAATATTTTACAGAGTTTTTGTTGATTAGATTCAATCCTGCACTTTGCCTGTGGATATGAGACACCCTCGAAAGAAGCACGAGTCTGCTGACTTTAAAAATACTTGGTATTTTAAATGCGTCTTGTACTTGAGTAAATACAGTAGGATCTCGCAACCCAAAGAAAGAATCACGTACCGAAGCCGCCTTGACGGAACGGATTGTACGGGTTCTCTCCCCGCACCGGGGCATTGTCGTACGGCGGCCCGGCGGGTTGCGGCGCCGCGGGTTGCTGTTCCATCTGTCCGCGCTCATCGAATCGCACGTGTCCGTTCACGTTCCCGAAATGGGTTCGGTTCAGGTTACTCGGGCCCGGCGGCACGGGTGGAGGCGGACGAGGAGGCTCCACCATGCCTCCACCACTGCTAGCATTGTCTCCCTGCTCCAGCTGCGAAAACTGCATCTTAGGGCCCTCTGCCATCGACTGGTACTGCGGGTTGTTCGGGTCATTAGACATAAGCACGTTGCCTTCTTCAAACGGCTTATAATCATAGATATGGCGCAGTTTCAGTAAAGCTGGAGCATACAGGAAATTGCTGAATGCGATCATGAGATTAAGGGCTGTGAACCCGATGGACTCCACGACACTGCCGGCGATCACCGGCCCGAAAGCGTAGGCCACAGAGTAAGAAATGTCTGCTATGGCGTAAATACTCCCGTAGACCGAAACATAGCGCAGATCTACTAAGAACCCCAAAGTCGGCAGCAAAGCAGTGTCTATCAACGCCACTCCGAAGCAGATGGAACATAATGGTAGTATAAGCACGTAGTAAGTGTCTATAAGTGGAATGAACAGACACGACGCGCCTTCCATGACCAGTCCGATGAGAGCATAAATGTACTGTCGATGCGGATACTTGTTCGCTAGTTTGACAGTCAGTATCACGCCTAGGACATGTGGTATGAAAGCCGGGAGCCAAATCATGCCAACTTCCCAACTCGAGGCGCCCATTTCTTTTTCCATCCACATGCTGATAGTGGGTTCTAGAAAGGCCAGGCTGACGTTGGCCATTGTGAGGGCGCCGGCGCAGACCAGGATCTGCGGGTCCATGAACAGGCGCCAGATTGGTGTCCCTGGTGGTCGTTCGTAGCCGGCTTCTTTCAGCTTTGCCTTCACTGGTCGCATGACGAAGACGAGGAGCAGGCCGTCGATGAGGCAGACGAATGCGAGGATTAAGAATGGCAATTCCTTGCCAAACCAGCCGTATAAGGAGCCGCCGAATGGCGGCGCCACCAAGCAGCCGAACGAGATGAAGGCCAGCGCTATTCCCAGGGCTTTCTGTCGCTCATTTTCCTCAGTGAACCTATCAACGAAATATTTTAAATATTCGTTAACATTAAGCGTGGAATATCCCTATGGCGCCAAATTTGAAACTGTAGTATGCACGAAGAATTTTTTTTACTGTTCTTGATGGCAGCACAGGTATTGTACTATAACCTATTTAAAAAATATAAATTGTAAAATGGGAAGTCAAAATGCAGTTGATGTGACCCTGAATTATTAAAGCCTTCAATTCATTGAAATTTATGCAATAGACGTCTCACGTGATACTCATCAGAGGGAATTCTGAACATCAAAATTATTGCTGTAGATGAACTGATTATGCATTATCAGCACGTACAGCATGACCATAGAAAACAATAAATTGTAAAAATATTTTTCCAAGGAAAAAGCCGTCACGAAGTTCCTCTGGGCTCCCAATTTCTTATTTATAAAATTAAAATCTTATGATGCCCAACAAGTACTCCTCCAGAGGATTCCGTCAGTCCACATTCGCTTGAGAACTTCGAATGTAATTTTTTTTTGGCTTGACGGAAAATTATGAAAAAAGTACAGCTTTTGTAATTCACTGTTCGTTTTTTATTATATGTATGTGATTAGTGTGCACTTTGTTATCGTTTCTTTAAGAAAAATTATGCTTGGGTCTCAGTTTGATGGGAAAGTTGTTTATAAATTTTTCTCTATGCGCAAGTTGCAAAAGTCTTGCGCGTAGTTTTTCTCCTCAGTAATAACCCGCCAGAAAATTGCGACGCAATTTGCTGTTGTTGCGAAAATAGATGCACGAAGCGATTAGCGCAAAAATCTTTACGCAATAATTTCCCTCTCGAAAACATAACTTAGCTCTTGGGGCTTCAGTTAGTAATGAAAATGAGCACCTGTCAGCAATCATGGCGAGTCCAGCGGTGTCGGCAAAAGCGGAACCCACGCCCTGAAGGCTTCTCGCGAAGAACAGCATCCCGTAGGAATCCCCACAAGCAAACAACGCAGTGGAGAAGAACATGATGGTGAGCCCGACCATCATGGGTTTGTCATAACCGACCCTGTCGATGATGGCCCCGGAGAACGGACCCACCAGCAGTTGTATAGCGGCTTTGGATGCGAACAAGACCCCCACTGCTGACCCCTCGCCTTCGTAGGTCATGTCTTCGTCATCCGGCCTGGGGGTAGTTGTTCCGTTAGTGATGATGTGTTTCCTCGCTGCGTCCTGCTCGGCTCTTTCTAGTTTTTCCAGGTATGGCGGAATGATCGGCACTATGACCATGTAGAGCATGTTGTCCAGGAGTAAAGCGATGGCGACGATGACGAGCACGAGTTTGCGTTGGTATTTTTCATCTTGCAGATACTCGTAAAGGGCGTCGTATCGGGACGTGATGGAGTGGGACAACTCCGCCAGGTCAACACTTTTGTTGATGATCGGAATCATAGGCATCTTGGCGGTTGTTCTTTTCAACTTTTACGGAAGACCAGTGGATCCGAAGAGAATGAACCTGAAAAACCGAAAGAATTTTTGATGGCTTCAGTTAAGTAGCGGTATAAATCAAACAGGTAATTAGTTCTTGTAATGGCCTAACGTGAACTGGAGAATATGTCCAACTCTCCAACGAAAAAAATATCGCAGATAAAGTTTTTCTCTGTATTTCTGCACCTTCATCAAGTAGTGTGGACAAATGATAGGATCCGGAAAAAAAATCAGAATATCGCCAGCTCAATGGCGGTGTGAAAATTTGATTTACTGTATATCTTGCAGCCCCGGTATCAGTTTCGAAAAAAAAATTGGTGGACACTCTGGACTTCTGGACAGACAAATGGACGAAAATTTTCGAACTACCTTATTACAGTTAACGGCATACCTCCACTTAACGGCATAAATTCTGCGAAAAAGTTCGTCATTTTAAAAGCGCTGATTTTTATTATAAAGGAGAAATCACTTGAATGCATTTTTAACTGAAATTTCGTGTTCCGGGGTTTAAGAATCCCTTTTCCCATCCATGTAACGGGTGTTTTCCTTCCGCTTTCTTCTCTGCTTTTTTTTCGATTCAAGCCTTTGAAGGAAGTTAAAGGAGTTCAAGTGGAGCTAAAATTTATGAGGAGCGTTTAAAAAATTGTGTTTCATACTTCGCCAGTGGCGTAATTCTCTAGCAAGACGATCTGCTGACATTTCGTAAGGTCGTAAATTATTGTATACTGTTCGGAAATCACGCAAGAAAAGAGGCTAAAAAGGATTTGCGCCCCGAAGCGGCGTTTTTGTGCAGAATTCAGGTCTCGGGGTCTGGGTCCAAGTTATATCGCTGGGTTCGTAAGCGTGCGTGTAGCAGTAGGTTATCCGATCCACGAAACACCCGCTAGGCAAACAGAAACTTCGTCTGAAAAGGAGCTCAAAGCCTCGGGGATTGGGTGACATTCGGGCGTTTTTGTGATGCAAATTTCGTGGGGTGACGAAGAGGGAGCGACTAGAACATTCTGCTTGCTGCTCAACCGAGGAGGGGGTGTGGGGTCCCATGAAGGTAATAACGGCCCGTGTGTCGCTGGTGTTCTGAATTCAGCACATGCACCACGGGGGGTTGAATGTGTATCTTTATTATCCCGGGGACAGGGTTTTTTCTTGTACGAATTTTTAGTGCGGAGAAAATGACGCTTCAGATGTGTATGCGATTGCACGTCTGAAGCGGCTCTACGAATTTCAAAAATAAGGGAATTTTTAAACCGGCCTCAGATTTTTTAGAAACAAGGTAAATTTATTTTTTTCCACGAATTGCCTTCTTCCGCGTTTCCTGCCTTAGTAGCAAAATTTCTCCCGTGCATTTTACAATAATATCAAACTGCAGAAAAATTATCAGTGATCCAAATTCGAATCTGGAATTTGTTCTGCTAAAACCTCTAAAATATTCAATCGATGACATAATCGACTACTGATTTTACCGTAGCCCATCTTGAAAAAATCAAGAATTTATAAAAACTTTGCCAATTCTTTTAAGGAATCATGAAATGATGATTGAATGGCCTGTCGATCGTATTCCGTCAATCATTGTGCAACCAATTTTAAGAAATGTAGAAATCCTTGCCTTTAATTTGCTTCGCCGTTTTTTGCCAATTATTAAGGCAATTCCAGCAACTAAATCTTTAAATAGGCCACTACGGCATTAAAAAAAAACGTTTGGGTTCCATCCACTGTTCACTGACTCAATCTGCTAGTACAGTATATATAATAAACGGTGTGACAAACATTGATGATTCTATTGGGGACATTCAGCATGCTTTCTCTTTTATCAGACCGACGGTTGAACGACGTTCTAGAATTCCATAATTCTGCAGAAATATTTTTTTTTACATACCACACTGCATGCCATTGCGTACTAAACTGTTAAGCTATGAGTACAATAATTCCTCGCAGATTACTGGAGGAAGTTTTGACAAGGAAACGTTCCCGTCGCTCAAAAAAGTTTTTTATAAATCCGGAAATTTTGAGGCAAACAGACGAGATAATTCTTAAAGGATCTTCCTGTCCTTCCAAGAAAAAGTTAGCCGGGAATAAATCTTTGTTAGCATATATAGTAGAGGGGAATACTGAGTTGCAGGGGAGAAGGGCAACAGGGACTTGGCAATTCCAGTTCCCGGTCTCGAAATCAATGAAGGAAGCAGGTCATTGAACAGGTCACCCCAGTGTGTCCTCCGATTAGGTTTGATTTTTTTTTTCTTTGGCCGCTGATGGGATGAAATCAGCCTCGTTTTCAAAGCTCGGCTCGAAGCACATGGCGGACAGGCTGCCAAATAAATGTCAATTTCCGTCCATGCACATTCCGAAGGTATCTTTCCATAATTCACGTGGCATAGGTGAACGTGGGACGGAAGTATTTCAGATTTCGTTTTCTGTGCGTCTATTTTTCGTGACTTACGTACTATAGCTTTTTCCCACCCCGAAAAATGCCGCAATGCGAACTTCTACCATCATTTTTCAGAATTTAAAAAAAGGTTCCGAGGAACGAAGTACTGTACAGTACCTTTTTTTTGCAGTAGGAAGTTCGAATATGAAAGGTTTTGTCCTGTTTTTTAGACGCGAAGAACGTGAATCGCAAGCAAGCTATTTTTCAATTCCGAAAGGATAAGATTAAAACCGGGAGACAAGAGGTTCATCATTGGATCTTAAAACATGAAATTTTCCCAGATTTTTCAAAAAACTTGAAAACCATGAAGAAAGGCCGCCAGTATTTGAAAGTTTTCTGTGATGCAAGATAATTTCAAGCCATACCATTTTCTTAAATTCAGCAACGAATGGGAGTTGGTATGAAGTAAGAAATGCATGATATCTGCTGAAGCAAAAAGTTTGATAAGATTAAATTATAGCTCCAAAAATAAGCACGAAAAAGGAGGAATCCTTTTAAAAATCTTCCATTCAAAAAAAGGTCTTTGCTCATCGTTGTTGTTTTTTACTGCTAGCAAAACAGATGGTTCACGTCATTTGGCGATTCAAACTTGAATATTTCTAGGAGTCATGAACTTAGAAAATTTGTGTTGAATCAAGCGTAAAAAATAAAGATTTTTCCAAAATTCAGAAAATTTTTGCGTTTATACCGTATTTATGAACAAACTTTTGCTCTTCTGAAAATAAATGGACTCACCTTGGTCCATCTGGAGTCAATTCAAATGTGATTTATTCGCTGTTGGGCAAGCATGCATTATAAAGACACCAATATATCATTTTTTCTGAAAAAGTTAAAATTTAAACGTCACGCTTATTAGTTCGACAGACAATTCTCATAGTCCTGAGAACACTATTTATTCCCGTTTCCTACCCCAAAGACGATGATTCCGAGTTAAAAATAAAGAAATAAACAATTTCCTTCTGCGCGCACTCATTAATTATGGTTGGATGGATGATGCCAGGATTTGTCCCAACTTCCATGCGACCAATTTCTCTACATTATGCCTCCCTAAAATCTCATTTTTTAAATTCCAGCGGGGTATGCTACGGTTATTTTTAATTTTGAAAACTGAGAAAAACCTTACCTGCGGAAGTGTAGACCTCGTACTCTGCCCTTGGACCCTCTCACGTCCTGTTTCCGGAGGTACCTTGGCCTTCCATGCTGTTATCTCCTAAAACCCAATTGAAACAAAACTCCATCAGTTCATCAATGCTGATGAAGCCACGCGTTACCAAACTAAGCGCTCCACTGAATTAATTCCCGCGAAGGAAATCCTTTCAACGTGATCCCGTTGTTTTAGACTTGAGCTCTCTGTTGCAGTATAGAGGTGCTTGGGTAAATAATTAATCCTTTCGGAGTTATGAAAGAATAAATGTAAACTTGAGCGCGATATTAATGCAGATAATGTGGAAGACATTTACATCCCCAGATAAATGTAGTGCGTGTAATTTGTCTCGAGTCTCGACCTCCGTCACTAATGCATTTATTCGAAAATACTGTGTGTCCAATTTTCCAAACCAAAATTTTAATTTAAAATCCAGGGTGTACCTTACATTTGATTGCGTCTTACATTCAAAATGGGTCTCGACTGTGCTTATGAAGTACAATACTGTACATGATTGCTTATGACCTGCACGCCAAAATTTATAGCTTCAGGGTACTAAAATTGGAGCATTAAAATTATTCTGAGACATAAATTTTGCAATTGAGGCGCGAGTGATGAAGTCAATATGAAATTGTTTCTGATATCTTCAAGAAAAATTGTTTCCCTTACTGAGGAGCAAACAAAAATATACAAGGTGCTCATAACCGATGTGCCACTTTCATTAGATTAGCAGGGTCATGCCCTTTCAAAGTCGTCGCTACGAAAACGGTTGCGAAATACGTTCCCCGAGAAAGTGCCACACCGGGAATAAAACATGAAGAGGAAAATAAGGAGTCTCGCAGGTTACAAGGAACGTACACAAAGTGCATCATGAACCGGAAGTAAATCCCGGAACGACCAGCAAGTTTCATTCCTAATCCCCTCTTCCCCGTTTTTCCCCACGGGTTCTTTTGAAAACCCCGGACGTGGAGGTTTATGCGAGGAGGCCACGCTGAGTGGCTTGATGAGGTCGGTGTGTAATCCATTATGTATGGTGGGCCGGGGGTGCGCAGGGTGGAAGGATGTATGTGGAATTGCTTCCCTGTATCTCTCCTGGCACCAAGCCTTTTATATTTTTTTCCCCTGTTCTAGTCCATGTCGACAGCGACCACGTTTTCTCCCCCACCTCGTTTTCTTACATGTTCCTGCTTCTTTTTTTCTTTTTTTTTTGATGGAAGGCTGCCGTGCGAACGTCAGCGGAATAGTACTCGAATGGCCCAGACCAGGTGATTTACGGATAACGCGCTTCTGTCGTGATGGACTACGCGTGAACATACATTCGGTGCATGCACACCAATTTCACTCTCCATTCATTTTTTTCCCTTTCCATGCACTGAAAGAAGGACTTTATGTGGAAGATACAGGAAAATTCAGTACCGAGAGAAATACACAGTTGTATTGCGTCCGTGTCCCAAAAGTGAAACATAACTATTGCGTATCGTTGTTATATCCAGAAATCGCAGTGTTTCGTGCTTCTTCGCCTTTTACTTGACCACGCCTCTCCAGGGAGTTTTCAAGTAAAATTTTATTTTGAATTTTATGACTCATCAATTCTTGCAATAAATTTTAGCTACCACTTCGGAAAAGGCAATTTCTGAATTTTTCCATTGATTTTCTCGAACATATAAAATAATGAAAGCAGAAACAATTTAACATTTATATTGCTTTTTGGCAAAAAAAAATACAGCATTTGTACGGAAGAATAACGTTTTTGCTTCCCCCGAAGGACTTTGCATCGTTTCCTAAAAAAACTCCGGCAAAACTTCGAAGAAAAAAAATTTCGAAGAGCTGCGAAATATTTCTTACAACGACGGCATGTACTTATTAATGAGTGATTTGACGGCTTGCGTTATTAGGACAATCTTTCTAGAAAATCCTCAACATTCTCATGGAAATCGTATCACAGCTTCCATTTTTTTTTAAATTTATTGAGTCCTATGCATGAGCTCGAAGTTGGCGTTTGCGAATAATTCGAAGAAAAAATCGTTGGCAGTATGCTGAAACATGCTTGTTCACTTGAATGGGTAAGGAATTAATTAACCACATCTTACAAAATAGCCTACTTTTTTGGTTCACTGAATACAGTACTGTATTATTACTTGAAAGAAAAATAACCGAACATATATAAAGGCGTAGTTTCTTAAATAATCAGATTCAACCATCATGCGCCAAATACAAAAAACTTCAAAAGACCAATTCGCAGTTAATTTAGCAAGTGTTGCTTTGAAGCAGAGTACCTGAGTGTTCTGGAGGCGTACGTGGGATGTTCTCGAATCAAGTGCGTCATGATGAAAATTGCACACTTCTCTTCGACCTTTTCCTTTCGTCTACGTAACTAGGAAACTTCTTATGTCAATGCGGAGGCGGACTTCTGGGAAATGAAAGAGTATCCTCACGCACGCTGAAGCTTTTTGAAATTTGAAAACCGAAGAGAATGATTTCTAGCAAACCTGATGGATGATGAATCCGACATTGAATGACTTTCGCGTGAAATATTAATCAATTTACCCAGAACCGCGACGATGTTAGGGATTTTCGTGACGAGAGTATGCTTCAAAAAGACTCTAGCGGAGTAAAAACAAAAAAAAAATCTAGCTTCTGTCATATGTGTGGGCAGGATAAAAACGTTTTTGTTGTTGTGTGCGAATAAACTCGTTGCTGCACTCGACTCTTCAGTTGTCCCTCTCCATCCAATGTCAATTTTACGTAGAAGGAAAGATGAAAGGAGTGAAGAATTTCCAAGATGAAAAAATGCTTGCGAAAATACGCCGAATGAGTCGGGGGAACGGCAGGAATAATATGCAACCCAGTCAGACGGGTATACTGAACGAGAGAAAAAAATATATATCCGTGTTTGTGTTCCTTTCCGAATGCCGGGGGCCAGTGCATCAGGCACAGAGCCAATATTAGTACATACGAGCAGGAATTTCGTGCACTACACGTTATGAAAGCTTTCCAAGTCTGGCCAGAACCCGCGCGAGTGGAGGGAATTCCACGTTACGACTCCGTGTTTTACGAGTATACCTGAGGGAATTCTCTGTCGATGGAGGGGCCCGAAATCCACACATGAGGGGCCCACGCAAAATGCCTGATCTCTGCAAGAGAAAGTAATTCTGATGAACTTTATCTGCAAGGAAACTGAAGCGATCACTGCAAAGTTATTGTTTAATTTTGACTCGCTGGAGCTCGCAAAAAAAAGTTCGATCTCTAAATGATATATTAATTATGATGAACAGTATCTGCATTCAATGAAACTGAAGCGACTTCAGCAAAATTACTGAGCCCTTTTGACTCGATGTATTGTCTTTCAGCCGATTGCAATAGTAAATCCTCGTAAAAAATACATTTTTTTGTCTCAAAATTGATCCAGTCATTCTTGTTCCTAGGATGTTTTATGAGTTACTGCGGAACCCCTTGAAAATTTGGTAGGAGCCCTACCGCCTAAATTTCAGAAATTTGAGAAATAAAAGAACTTCCAAAGCCAGGCCAAAGTTTGAAACCTCGTTGCAATTATTCGAACTATACACAGATAAAACCTGCCAATCAACGCCATGCAATAAAACAAGTGAAGCGAAAAATGCGATTTTAAACAATGATGGACCAACATATCGAATCAAACAAACAAACGTTGCATAAGACACGCAAGAATTCAGTTTTGCCAGTTTTCCTGATATTCATCTTTGGACAATCAACATCTTTCGTTTTCTTGGTTCTTCTGAGTTGTCTTTCAATGCTTAAGAGCAATTTTGCTTCAGAACCCGTTTTCCAACCGGAAATTTGCGAGACGGCACGCTACATCTTTCAAGACCCTTGAGAAAGATTTTTCTGAGCCCAATTTAATCGTTTTGAATGTCAATTCTCATGTTAAGGGATGCTAGTTACATTAGTCTTTCAGTAAAACATTTTTGAAACCAAGAAAAATATCTCACATGATGATTGAATATAGTCAGAAAACCAATTTGCTCGTGATTATATAGACCTTGAGATATCTCCTGTTGAAATATATTTCGTCATATCAGAACAAAATGATTAAAAATTGTGATTGATTAATTATCAAACAGGTCGTTATTCTCTTTGCAATTGAATTTTTGCCTTGCGGCATGGATGAGCAGATAAAATTGGTCTGAAATTCAAGTTCTGCTCGCAAGGACGGAAAACATTCCACAATGCCTTTATTTTTTTATTGTCGGAGCAGAATACGTGCATAGAGAATGTTTACGAGCATGTACAAGTATATTCAGTGTCATTGGAAAAATGCACGAGGGAACGGATCTAGGACAAATCAAGACAGGCGATTTGAGACAGGGCCAATTTGAGACAAGGCCGATTTGAAACAGGGCCGAATTGAGACAACTACTTCTGGAAACAGGGAAAATTCCAGAAAGAAGCTTTTAAAGACTAGGCAAATTTGAGACAGAAACTTTTGAAGACAGGGACAATTTGAGACTGAAACTTTTTGAGACATGGACGAATTAATTTTGAGAATTTGAGACATTTGAGACCGATGCATTTTGAGACAAAATGACTTGACTGCATTTCTCCCCATTATTTTATGTTTAAGGTGTGAAAATGAACAAAAATTGCACTCTTTGGTGAAAAGTACATGATCTCAGGGTGTTTCTCCTTTTTGTCTATCATCGCCATCAAATGAGTTTTCCTCATCAAGGAGAAACTCAAATCTTTGAACTAACCCAAGCAGATTTCCTCTTCTCAATAAGATAGTTTTTTTTTCTTTTTTTCCTTGCCTCAAATTGTCCCTGTCTCAAATTTTCCCTTCTCTAATTGCCCCTGTCTCAAATTGGCCTTGTCTCAAATTTTCTGTTTCTATTTGGCCAGTCTCAAATTGTCTGTCTCGATTTGTCCGTATCCCTAAGGGAACTTATGGCGATGTCCTGCCTAGAGAGAAAATTGGATCCCGGCTCAATTCATAATTTGCAATTTGCTAACGCAAGTACCGCCGGATATCCGGAAGAGAAGCAGAGGCCGAAGTGATAAATAACTCAATGCGACTCGCTAGTCCGACGCAATTGCATCGCAGCCTGACCCGGAAAAGGTATGAAAATTTCAGGCATCCTGAATCCCATACATGAACGGGCTCCTTGATATCATGCCCGCAATTCCCCGTGTCCCGTTCATTCATTGATTTTATACGGCCCGGGGCCCGACAATCCAGGGCAGGTGGCCCCTCACGTGCGTGCACTTGATTCCCGAGAGCTGGTCTATCGACCCAACAGATTTCTATGGACATATCCAAGCAGCAGGCATTTATTTCAGACTTGGCGCTGTGATTGCAGAAAAGTTCCACGCAGTCGCTTCGCTGCAGAAATTATATGTCTTTCGAAAGATCGGATCGTCTTGGGCGATCAATGCAACCCGTCAGAATTCGCGGCCCCAAAAAAAAGCTAATTACGTGGAGATATTTCGTCAAGTTCTCTGATGACGTGATCATTGGATTTTTTTCAGTGATGACAAAACATCACAAGGATTTGGTAATCGACAAGATAGAGTATTAAAATTTAGTCAATTATCACTTTATTTTCATGCTGTGGGTGCAAAGAGAAACTTTCTTATTATAGAGGGATGCTATAATTCACTGAACAATGCATTTATAGGCAGCGATAACGAGTGCGATGCTACATTTAAAATTGAAGAATTCAATTAAGAAAGTCGCACAAGTAATTAATTACTTGTAGAACCAAGCTACGTATGACGGAAAATAAAACCTGTATGATTGAAAGCCGAGTTTCTTGACATACTTTTTCTTAGCCGAAAATAATCTTCAATTGGCTAATTTTCATGACCGAGGCCTTGAGTGCATCTATTCTCGATTTATGTATTGTATTTTCTTCAATCGCTCTGTCAATTATTTAATTGAAGCTGGTTTCTAATCAGAGCTTTGCCTATGGCTTCAGCCAAATATTTTAAAAGCTAGTCTCTATGAAAGCTGACACATTTTAAAAGGGGTTGGTGGAAATGAAATAATTCCGAGAATTCTCTTGATCCTAATAATCCTTTACAAATTCCAACCCTTTCCTTCTATCCATGTTTCAAGTGCTGAAAAAACTTGTCATCACCACCCTTCCACAGTGGCATAAAAAAATTTATGTTTCATTCCTCAAGATACAGTGGTATTAACACTTGCCTTACTTGTTTTTATTTTTATTTTTTGCATTTATCTTCCTTATCAGTATCCGTTGTAAATAATGGCTGATCTCCAATATAAGCTGACCTCTATTAAAGTCAAAGTGAAAACTCGACCATTTTAGAAACCGAATGGATTCATTGGAGAATATTTAGTACAGTCCAGTACAGTACAGGTAATTGACATTATTTTAGGGCTCTAAGAAGAAACCACATTCAATGTCTGCTTTTCAAGCTGAAGCAGTACAGTGTATGTCTCAGCTAATTTATTATGGACCCATTGTCTCGATTTAAAAATTTTCAAAATACAGTATTTTTAAACCCCTCATGTAGCCGTGAAGTCTGGGAGATACAAGTGGCGAATCACCATTTCAAGCACTGGATCAAAACTCGTTCTCCCTGGGAATTTAGTCTGCGATTTCCTGTATATTTTTGGATGGGACAATATTAGGGTAAGAAATTAAGATAGAACAGAACTAATTTAATCAAACTGCTCATCCATGAGTTCTGAGAACAGGTATATGCAATGTTGATGAGAAAGCTGGAAAACTTCCGCATTAGTTTCATGGCTCGTTGAGGCTTAACCCATCAAACAAACTTCGCGATTCCAATTAATTACCGGCCCGTTTGACTTGCCAGCGAACAGGATATTACTTCCTTCGAGAGGCATCCTCTTCGAAAATCATTTCTTTCTGCCTGTTGGATAGTTAGTTTTTGACAGGTGCGTAAATTGGCTGCCATCAAAGCGTCACTTCATCAATACTCTTTGAAGTAATTATGAAAGTGCTGAGCATAATCAAAGTTGCAAGAAGATTGTCTGAAACAAAACGTAAAAAATCAGACCGTGCATCGTGTGTTTAAATGAAAGATAAAATGGCCGATCGATCATAAATGATATAGTAAAAGCTGTGAATTTGACTTTCAAAACGTGAGGATGTTCAAAAATTTAGTGCATCAAACGATGGATATCTTCCTCAAATTTATTCACCCAGAATCAAGCGGATAAGTGTGATATGAAGATAGAATTAGGGTCAGATAAGCGAGTTTTCTAATTTGTCTGATTTGAGGAACCTGATTTATAATAGATATTTGGAGCCATTTCTAGAATCAGTAAGGTGAAGCCTCGTGCACCTCCCACGCCTCTTTCAAATAATATTCCAAGATTTTGAGGATTAAAAATATTCTTTTCACTGCATTTTTATCATGATTATAAGCAGATTGAAATTCAATACGTTTTCGGACCCTCTTTCTCAATTTTGAAATCGATTTGTTCTCAATCAATCCAGCTCGTATTAATTTCACGTGCAGCATTGGTTTAAAATGTCTGCACATGTCAAATAATAAGCTTTGGATAAACCTCAGAAAATAAAAGCGAAGCAGATAAACTCGTTCGAGACCCTTTTACCTCATTCGAATCCTTATAATGAATCGAGTAACTATAAATCAGAGGTTTTCAACCTGTGATCCACGGTTTCCGAAGGGCTCCTTTTGAACTTCAAGGGGGCTCCGCGGCTGCTCCAGTGCGGTGGATGAAAATCAACACATTTAACTCCAGATAGCGAGGTAAGGCCTTAAACGAATAATGAATAAATTGTGTATTTGTAATACGGTGTAGAAGGACTAAATACTGAACCTGAATGATGATCTGAAATGCATGAGGCGATCTTAAGGGGCTCCGCGAACGAGTTTTACATCACTCAGAGACTTCTCCAGAGAAATTAAAAAGAAAGCTGCAATGAATTCAAGATACAGTAGTGGGATTTAAAAATAATTTATTACAATTTTTCCTGAAATGCAGGGTGAACAATGACTAAATATATAACGAGAATAATTATCCAGGAGACATAGGGTAAGCCCAAAAAGGCTCCGCAATCGAGTTTCATTCAACTGGGGGCTCCGCGGATTCATCAGAGGAAAGACTTTCGCGTTGATTCCAATGTAGATTGTGCTAAGAATTGGCAAGAAATCATGCATGTAATTAAAGTCGTATGAAGCCCACCTACAAAACGATAATGATGACCTGAAAATGCAAAGGTGAGGGTTACAGGTCATTATATTGAGGACCTGAAACTGCATAGACTGGGTTGCGGAGCCCCCATATAATATCCGGGGCTCCGCAACCCAGTTTCCACGAAGGCTCCCCATGGGATAAATGCTTCGCAGCATGGATCCCCCGGCGGGTTTATAAAAAGATGCTGGAGAAAAATCTCAGCTAATTATAGTCGTGGTCGCGCCAGGTTTGATTGATTATAAATTCGTCACACCTGAAGTGCTTACCTGGGAGTGACGGGAAAGACGAAGGTCGACGTGTCCAGCCGGCAATTCAGGGGATCCCTCTACGGCTGGCTGGACTCACAAAAAACGGAGAGAAATCGAAGACGCGGAAACGCACACTGGTCAAGGAGCACAGGGCCGGTGTGAAGGCAGAGCCGGTGAGACTCTCGCAACATGCACGTCCCGCGGCCGAGTTGCCCGGGGTCGAAGCGGCAGGCAGGGAGCCCGAAGGGGGTGCCCTGGGCGACCCGGGAATGCTCTTGCACGGAAGAGGGAACCCTGGCACGCAGGCCGGGATTGGTCCCTCCGAACCCGGATCGATGCGACCTGGATTCTCGGGAGCCCGGGCAGCCCTGGGCCTGCCTTCGGCGCCGAAACACGCCCCTCTTCTTGACGCGCGCTTTTCTTCGAGCTCCCGAAGACTGCCGCTAAATTCTAAGCGATCTCATTACGTGTGTGTTCCGTGTATGCCACCTGCTCACGCCTCATCACCGTCCATTCCGTGTTCTCGTTTCAATTTGCTTTTCACTGCTTGTACCGTCGCCAATAATTTTCATCTAAACATCGTCTCTAGCACCCACCTTGATCATTTCAAAGAGCCTCACTCGCCCAACTCATGAATGATTCACTTAATATGACCTGCTCACATTCACGGAATGGCAGAAATGAGCAGCAGATTTTCGTCTAGACAAGCGGACTGTATACAAGTGCAATACCTGCATATACTATTGTAGCTCAAGTGACAAGTATTCATATTTCTGGAAGCGCGTCGTCTTCCTCGTCTGATTTGTTTTGTAAAAAGTATTTACTTGGACTATTTCGACCCAACGGTGCAGGACACCTAGCTTCATTATCTTCTCGACCTGGAATCCAGTTTCCACAACAACAAAAAAACCATCGCCAATAATTTTCATCTACACATCGTCTCTAGCAACTTGATCATTTCAAAGAGCCTCACTCGCCCAACTCATGAATGATTCACTTATTATGACCTGCTCACATTCACAGAATGGCAGAAATGAGCAGCAGATTTCGAGACATATACAGCGTAAATAAAAGACTTTGCGGACCAACTGATGGTCCTTCAACCACATGAAAGAAGTACTGCTGTACAATAAACGAAGTACGGTTCAAAAGTCCACAAACCAGCGAATATTTTTGCAGGAACTTACCCTTAAACGTGGATAATGAACTTATTCATATTCGATCTAATACATAAATCATGCTACAATATTTTTCGAACTACGACTTTACACCTACTCACGCTTCATCTCGGCGTGTTATCTTATTATTCTACTGCAATGTTTTCTGAAATCCCTATGCTTTTAATTAACCTTTTCTTAGCTTGCTCGTTCTGGTAATGAATTATTTATTTTAGTGCAGCTCAAGCTACATTCGCCGACATTTAAAATTGTGAAACATTTTTCTGTGGAACTGGTTAGTTTTAAGTGCTATATACTGAGCGGGCCAGCTCATCATCCTCCCAATTTTAGAAAAAATATAGAACTCCACAAATGTTCAACAATTGTCTGTATATAGACAACATGTGAAAGAGCTTTGGAGCCATGGTTTTCCCTTGTTATCCGCTCACCATGCTGATAAATACAAGTGCTCCAGATAGCTCGTTAGAAGATACTGTACAATATTTTGGCATAGTGCTCGATTGAAAAATAGACTGCGACATAAACTGGAGCTTGGAATGCAATATAATGGGAATATTGCCTAGAAAACAAGATAAAGATGATGCTGAAAATGTCAAAGACTGCCAACAAAACTGCAATTGAACATGGAGCACGAGCTACGAAAACATGATGAATTATGCATGAAGTCACTTCCCTTAATTCGATTCAAACCCACTTCATCTTATCTAGTGGGCGGCATTCAAATATTACCCTACTTGAAAATTAGGATAGTCACTTCAAAGGCTTTCATTCGCAATAATTCAGAGAATGTTTTCTTGGCTTCTTCACATGATTACAATTTTATCTAATTCATTGTTTCTGTTACATATTTGAGAGGTGAGGTTGTGATGCACAAATCCACCGGCATCTTCATGCGCATAGTTAGCTTCCCAAAATATTTGAAGATGCAATACTTTCAAAAACCATGATCAATTATCTTCGGCGATTTCACAGTGTGTTTTTCCCCAGAAAAGTATATTCAGATCGTAAAATTAATAAATAAAATACGAATTCTGTGAAGAGCCTAAATCATTCGAAAGATGTGAGAAGAACGATGATCGCTTGCCTGAACGCCAATTTTCCTCGGCTGATCAGCAAGTTTAAAATTGTCTGTTTGGACCTGGATTCTTCAATGACGTCGTCCATTTGGTTTTGTTTGCATTTTCTGCTTTTATATTTCAATGTACAGACATGAATTGGAAAATCGCGGGGAATCTTTAAATTAAAATTGAACTAAATCTTTAACCACTCACGGACGAAAAAAACTGTTTACCTTAAAAGGAAAAAAAATCGAATGAGTAGGAAATTTTGCGAAATAACCCGGTGCCATGAACAATGCATGCACACGCAAATGATTGCATCCTACGCCAATGCTTCAGGGTATACCAGGAAACCTGTCCATATCAAGATAGGTATGGATTTTTTGCTCCGGGCCCAGGTTTCTCTTCAGAATACCTCACGTGCTCTTTTGAGGCTGAGCCCCTTCGATCAACGAACCCACCTAGTATCCCTGTTTTTCACGACCAGAGGATTTCGAGAAGGAATTCCAAAGCTCCTGCAGGAACATCTCGCTTCTACAGATCCCACGTAATACTTCCTCATTTCCTTTTTTTCATTGAAATCAGCGTAAACCAGACTGAGGCTAATATTCCAATTGTCATGCTGCGGTAATATAGGTGAGGATATTTTAAAGCGATTTCGTAATTTGTTCTACGTCATAGTTAAAGAGCTTTGACGATCTGGAAAATAATATTTGATGCGCCCACTGCCGAAATTTTCTGCTCGCACGACTTTCATTCAAAATTTGACTAAGTGCCAGTACGCGGATGAAGGTTTTCATATACTCGAGAGTCGACTCCAAGATGATAACTAAAACTTCGGAAAGAGATCGCCAATAATCAGAGTGCGAACGATGGATCAGAAAATTAACAAACGGGCACCATGATTTTGAATTCATTTCCAAATTCAGCATACATTCTTCCGGAAAAAATGCCTACCTCTTTGGGTAAAACATAAAACTCTGCTGCTTTTTCGATGGCTCATAAATGTTGCGTCGATATTGGTAGGGTTTTTGGACTCTTCGTTATTCTTCTCATCCATTGTCTTTGTAATTTAAATTATAAGTTTTGAATTATAAAATCTGTTATTGGAGTATAATGCATTCAGGAAAAATTGCTCGACTTGTGCTTTTTTTTTGCTTTTCTTGAAAGGCTTTTCTTGAAAAATGTTTCAGTGTCAGCCTTCTTGCTGTCTCAGGCGTCCATATTTTCTTCAGGTTTAGCAGCCTTGCGAGAAACGTTTGTGAAATAGATTCATAATATATATTGATCCTTTAGGATTCTAGAATATTCAAATTATCTATTCAACGATTTTAAATAGTTTTCGACTCTTCTGCTTCCAGGTTTAGCAGCATTCAGGATGTAAGCTATAGCTTTGTGAGCTAGAGAAGCTTGTATTCACCAAATTTATCACATGCTCAATTTCTTTGATACTCTCCACAAAAAAAACAGTAATAAGACATATATCAAAATGAAAGCCTGAAACTAAAATCAACATTAATTGGATGCATGCCTGACGCAAGAATCGAATCACTCAATCTAATGCCTCGAATTATAGCGATCCTCGATTGTATTTTTAGCCTGCTATATTTTCAGATAAATTCCCAGAATAATTTCAAAAGTACCCAGCGAGTGGAAATTTATGTTTTTCGTTTGATACATGGTAAAGAGAGACAGAAAAATAACATCAATTTATCGTAAAGGAGGAAAGTTAGAGCAAAATTAATCGCATTCTTTTATATATTTCACGATTTCAAGTACGGATCCTGCCCGATTTTCAAGGGTAATTTCATGGGAGAAGCGCAAGAATTATTTTACAGTATTGCGGCAACGAGGAATTTTGTCAATGAGGTTTAAAGTTTGATTCAATCTGATAAGGCCGCACCCGTGTTTTTGGTGCACAGTACTTGTTGGTTCAGATGGGTGCGGCCTATGCTCGAGTAAAAACGATATTATGTAAAGAAGATAGTGGGCTGTTGGAAGCAAGGGCTGGATTCACGTGCACAGCCCAGAGTTTTCCGGGGGCGCACCACCGCCTCAGGGGTCGTTCTTGCAGTGAACGGAAGGGCCGCGGCTCGACTCATGGCGTGACACACGAATCTGGAGCGAGTCCAATGTATGGCCCTGGTGTCGAGCATAAGGCCCTCTTTCCAGGTTCTACCCCCGGGTTCCGCAAGTTCTGGCGAAGAAACCTCTTATTCCATCGATTTCTCAAGACTCGCTCCGTCCGGCGCATCCTCGCCTGCTGGGTTTCTGTGCAGCATGCGCTCAATTCCACTGAACCCGTCGGGAGTTCCCGACGTTTCCGACCCGCTCGACTTCTCGGGCCTTGCTTCCCTCCATCGGAATTTCGCGGGGGTATGTACAACGGTGGATTCTTCTAGAAACTTTTTTTCCCGGAAAAGTAAGAATGAGAGGTGACCGAGGAAACCTTCTGGAACCGAGGTCATGCTGTGCTCTGCGTCAGCGATTCCATGAACTACTTGACCTTCAATTCACAAACCTTTCTTGCCTCTTAAGATTCCTTTTTCTCATTCAGAGCTTCGTAACGTATTTATTTGATATATATAAAACATACTGACGTGTCCGTGCTCGAAAGATGAATTTGCAATGCTTTGATGCCAACAAGCTGCACAACAGGATATCTGGTTTCCGTGCGGACATGGGACATGGGGTATCGATTGTTTAATGGGCCTTTGATCGGAAAAACATGTTATTGAAAAATATGTTTGTTATTGAAACTATGTACGAATTCGAATAAATCCGCATTTTCCAACGCACATGCTTTTCTTTGGGTCTGTTTGGTTTCCACGCGGAAAACATAATGCGACTGCTGGAAAATAGTGAGATGTTTACATTTCCAGATCACCTAACATGATGTTTTGATCCTTCTATCCTTTTCTAGAAGATTCTCCGTCGAATTTGTTGAGCATTATGAAAACCTGTAGAAGACAAGTGAGTTAATTCTCAATAATTTCATTTTTTTCTTCTCAACTCATGTTCGAGTTCATACGCCTTTTTGAATTTCCGACGAGATCGAAGTACTTCCGAGTACATAGCTAGAAAATGTGTCCAAGTTTGCTTGAGCTACGATTATAATTGAAATCGATCCAATAAATCATGGAAAACCTGCTGGATAAATTTTTATTAGTCAGTTTGGAAACTGGAAAATGCGGATTTGAAGACGGCGTATTAAAGATGCATTTCACGGGAAACAACTTCGGAGATGCTCAAACCTGAGAATGACTGCTTCATGCTGCATGGAATTTCAAAACATGGCCGCGAAATTTCATTGCCGTTTACTTGTCTATGAGCAGCTTTCGGGCGAACCATTTATTATTGTCGTCAATGCTGGATTTTTGCTTCCGGAGCAAACTTCCCGAAGAAACAAGATCATGCTGGATTGTAACAAGTTGGCGGCTTTCCGGAAAGCAGTTTGCAAAGGAAAAAAACAATCTCCGGGGACGTATCATGAAACTCCTCAATTCGGAAGTACGATATCAGTCTAACTGTACTACAGTTCCCTCTTTATCGTCGAAATAACGAGTGCTGGTATATTACCTGTAAATAATTCCGACGGATAGAGGTGAACTTCCTACGAAGAACGTTGCAACTGTTTGCAATTTAGTTGTACAAAACCTTCTATAGTCTCTGAGTAGCTCTTGAAGAAGGGATTTCAACTTGTGCAAAATTGTATCATTCTCTCGGTAATCTGGATCTTACATAGAGGAATCACGATCCAGATTTTTTTTTCATCTTCCAAACAATACCACGGAAATTTTTCTCACAGCTTTTGGGTCATGGAGCTTATTTTTTCAAGTACAGTAACGTACCTTCTACGGCGAAGACCCGTATGTTTTGACGAGGACATTAAAAAAAATCGGAAATGATATAAAACTGATTTCTCTCAATGTTAATGTGCAACTAATTCAATTAGGACTCTTCTTGAGTGCTTACTTGTTTACTAAATGCAACGTATTTTCCGATTGCATTCCATTTGAAGTTAATGGAATGCAGTGCAGCGTTGCGGCTGCATTAATGTTACCCATGTTGTTTTCCATCTTTTTAAACATCCCTTTTATTCTCGTGATCTGCTGACAATAATTGGGTTCTGACTTTTCATCGAAAAGGGGTTTTCATATATTCTTGCGACAGACTGATTTTTGAACTAATCCTAGCTGTCGTGAACGGCAGTTCAAAAACCGAACACGGAGTGCTACAGAAATTCGTGGTTCAAATTTTATAACTGTCGCTTACATAGGGACTTCTAAAGGCAAATCTTCCGTTTTTCTATAATTTTAGAAAGCATTCCTGCCTTTTTTCCGGAAGTTTTGGACGAGTCTTCGTTCGAGGAGTCAATGAGAAGAATAAATTGAAAAACACTGCTCTGGCAGAGCGGCAAAATATCCTCGTCCTCCCTCGTGGAAATTAATTCGATTTGTGCGGTTACACGGGGCTAAAATTTATGTACATCAAAACTCTTGATTGGCCAGCTCCGGAAGAAATCCGTACTCCACAGCAGGCGACTGAACTTTCCGAGTCTGGTGAGAAACTTTTGATACATGCCTGGATTTCCTCGTACGGGGGATAAAAAAGGGGGCTTTGAATTTTCCTCGCACCGGAACCGCCATTCCGACATTAGAATGCACAGCCGGATTCGCGTCACCAAAGAAGCCCTCGAATAACGTAGGTGACGTCGCGGAATTTCCTCGCCTGAAAGAAAAGCCCGGGCCTCTGCAAGATTAATGAGCAGGGAAATCCGCGCAGGAAATCCACCAGCCACTCTTGCGTCAGCCTAAGCTACGCATAACCGTCACCAGGACAGCATCCCTGGCACCAAAGCCGCTCGACATTGCCCATTACGCGACACGTGGAGGCGCGGGAGACACACTCCCGACACCCGGGCTTGTGGCAGCATTTTTGCTTTCTGGGGACCATTAAATGCTCGCCTGAAATGCGAAAGGGAAATTAGTGGGACGACTCCCCGAAATTTTCGCCAGAAATTCGGATCATTGTGGCTGCTCCAATTCATGCTGCAACGACGAAAAAAAAAATTCCTCTCATAACTCGACGCAAATTAGTGACATTCATGGCAACTCATTCAGTTAATTCCGGCTGCGCGATTAAAAAGGGTCGTTTTCTTGTGCATGATTACATATATAATCTGTAGAAGCAACTACAGTACATTTCGACACGTCCCCTTGAAATTCAAGGATAAAGGATTTTCGAAGATTAAAATCTACTACCGTTTCGCCAGACTTTCAAAATGTTCTGCTGCGCGACTTTATACGACCAATAAATATATTTCTTTGTTGGCTGTAGCACTACGCCTGCCATTTGGAATTTTAGGTCGAATTCGTGGAATAGCTCTGAATTGTCCAGGGACATTCGAGTACTCCTGCTCCACGACTTCAAAAGCTCAATTTTCTGATTAAACAAAATTACAGAAATGCAAGGTACAGTTATTTTAGTCGGTGCTATGTTGATTTTTCAGGGTATATCCTAATTAAATTCCACGCATTATTCTTTATTATCCCTTGATAATCTGGTTTCTAGCTCCCTAAACTGCTAATAACCTCGAGATTTTTGATCTTATCTTCTGAAAATCATGCGAACTCGTGTATTTGTGAAGTGTGAAGTAAAAAAAAAGCACTCGATAATCATCGGCGAATTTGTCGATTCAAAATAATTTGTTTTTTTTTTTCGTGGTAAAATTTCCGAAAAAGTGATGATTGCAGGTAAATTTCAAAGGAAATTTCAATGTCGAAGCATTGGAATAATGACAGAATAGGAAGTAAGCGCAATTGACATCGTTATTTCCAGCTTAGCAATTTTTGATGCAGAATATTTTGTGTCCGAGTGATTCGAATCATTTTACAATGATTTGAGAGTGAAGTTTCTTGGGGGTCATTGAGATTAACATAATATGCGGAAATGCCATGTAAATCGCGGCATTCTTGCTTATGCTCGTCATGCATAACATTTACCCGTGACGCACATCGCACCCTGAAATAGACTGAAAGCAATATCAAGCAATCTATAAATGAATGCATTCAAGAACCCAGAGTCCCGTGAATATCAACATAACCTCGGAACACATTCGCGTGTCAACACCAGACGGTTGGGGGGAAAACGTCTGTTGCGAGCAGGGAAAGCAAGAGCAGATCCCGGGCACCACGGGTTGTGCAACGCGCCGGGGGTGTATCAGGGCACGAAATCACAGCCATTAGGGCAAATGAATCTGTAAATGCGGCTCTGTTTGGAGTTGTCAAACAAAGACCCGCTCCGATAAAGAGGGTCCCCCTGACCTTTCTATCATACTCTTATTTCTGGGAACCTCACTAAATATACCGCCGATACCCTTCCTTTATGTGACTTGGCGACGACTGACGAGCGGAGCCACAACATGGACTCGAGCATCAGGTGAGGAAAAACCGTTGCTCATTTTCTTCATTGATCTAATTATTATTCCCGGCAATGAAATATTCACGCATGACTCGTATATATGGCCGCAAAAGTACTTAGGTTGCACCCTCATTATATGAACAGCAATCCAGTACATCATTAAGAACACATTTGAGCAGTTTTTTGTGCAATTTGAAGAAACTTGCAACGTTTCCCAACGAAATTTTCACAATTCGACGGGAATAATATAGGCATATTCTCGTGATAGTAACCCATTATCTAAAACTAATGATTTTTCTGCGTTACTTACAGTATTTTTAAAAGTAAGTTAACTAGTCAAGAGCATGATTTTTTTGATTCTTTATACAGATTATACTTTTTTGAACATAGCATGCATGGGTACACGTGTTGATCGAATTTTGAGTACTATAACAGCAACACAGATCATAGAGGCTGTCGAAGAAATTAAAAGCAACCCGTGCGATCATAAATTATAGGTGATGCAGTGATTGAAAGCTGAACGGCGATGAAAGAAGTGAAAACCAATCCATTATTCTTGTGCTTTCATAAATATAAATGAAGTGTGAAGACTATAAACCGCACGATACTTTAAATGTACCATATAAAAAACATTTATGAATCATTTCCTGGAAATATTACGTTAAAGAAGAAGTTAATTGTCCACATGATTGAATAATTTCAAATTCTTTGAATAAGTTCAAAAAGATTGAACTAGCCAGGAGTCCAGGACATTTTTACCTTGCTTCGTGAATTTTATCATTATTTTATTTGAGTATAAAACAGGCCTTAAGCCTATTTTATCGGAAAATAATATCGCACGGTCAGTCTCATTTTCTGGAAACCACCTTATAAAAACTTTCGTTGCAGCTTTTGTCAAGTATCGTACGTCGACAGCAGGCGATAGCACGCGAATAATCCACTGATTTCGATGAAGACTGAGAAAAATTACTTCATCACACAAGCATCATTTGTTTTCATGCCAGAATGTTCTCTCTGACAATAAACCAAGTCATACTGTTCCAGT